AGAATAACAGTGTTAATTTGATTCGCCTATTCTAGAATAAATGTTAGCTTTCATTTATTGAGGCTGATTAGTTATTATGCAACTTTTGGTTTTAATTATTTTGTTTTATTTTAATTTTCTATTGATGCAGGTACTGTGTTGTTTTTGACCCCTTGGATGGCTCCTCTAACATTGTTTGTGGTCTAAGTCTTTTAACAACCTGTAGGTGTTTTGGCTTTTTTGTTGAGTTATTATTTAGTTTGGTCCTCAGTTGTAAATTCCATTTTTTATTTCTTACAATTGGATGGAAGTTCTCGTGTTGCAAAATACATACTTTGTACGTAGCTGATATTTGTATACAAATATATTCTAGTATTTTTCTTGCATTATTCATTGGTTTTTATTTTCTTTGGATCAGTATTCAAAAATGATTCAGAATTAATATTTTTTTTATGCAGTGGACACAATTAGCCACGGTCATTATCATGGCTAATATTAAGATTAAATGTAGCTAAAAAAATGTTACCACACTCTATACCATCGTGGCTAAGAGCAAAAATACCTGTGGCAAAATGAATGCGACGCCAGTTTTGCGCACGGGCTGTGGAAGTGTGGCCAATTCATTTAGCCACGGGTTTAGTCATCGTTTGCCACGTTTTTCACCGTGGCAAAAGTCCATATTTTTTGTAGTGTATGTATAACAAAGCATTAAACTACCTTATTGCATATACAACACTATTAATAACCACTACCCATTCCGGGCTTGGTGGAACAATAAAGGGATCAATTTCCAAGGTCCGAAGGCTTACCTCAATGCTTCAATTCAACCTTTGTTCCCCAACACGTTTGCAACCAATCAACTTTGATTTCAAGCTACAACTTTGCAAAATACACACCTATCCAAATGAGTCAATCAAGCTCCATAGCTTGTTCCAATGAGTGGTCACTCAAAGTTGGTTCACTTGCCTCAATCTTAACAACACAATGACATAAGCAATCATCTAACTCGCTAATTGCTCAAAATACTAGAATATCCATAATCCCAAGCATGAATCTTCCATATATTGAACAATAACCAAATGACTATCTAAATTCATTTCTACTGTTTATTTATCATCTATAACAACTTTTACAAAGGACTTAAACTTAAATCAAACCCAAACTCATATTACTCACAATGACATTATTCATCATCTTCCTCAACCATACAATCCCCATGAAAACAAGGTTCAAGGAGTGGAAACTCACCACAAAGGGTTACACAACCAAGGGATGTTGATCTCCTAAGCTCCCATGGAGAGAATCACCTTCACACTCCTCAAATCCTCACAAGGGCGAAATCTTTGGAGGGAGATATCTCTCTCCATAATGCTTCACACTTAAAACTAAGTTAAGTTTATGAAAGAGGAGGAGATTTAGAGTGGTTAAGGCTTTGGAATCACTCAAATCGGTTAAGAATCCATGGACCTAGGGTTTGCTTCTCCCATTTGGTCATCTCTCCCACTCTCTCTTCTCTCTCAGGCTCGACGAAGGAAGAAAGAAATGAGGGGTTGTGATTTTGTGTTTTGTCACTTATAATGGTTAAGTGAAATCAACCGGGTATTAGCTCATCTATCTATTAAACTCCATTCACCACCAAACTTTACCCAAAGGTCTGGAATATTTTTCTATGAATATTTCTAATTTTACTTTTATATTTTGGGTATTTTTGACTACGTCCATTTTTACCCCATAATTTTCACTGAGTGAACTTTTTACCTCAAAAGTGACCCTAATTAATTTAGCTAGGCACTACACTTAATTTTACTTACTAATACATGCTTAATTACTTAATTACATGTAATTTACTAATTAATTAAGTTAGGGCTATTATAATGCACCAGATCCAAGATCAACACACTAGTCCATTGGGCTAGACATTTCTGTCTCTAAGACAAAACACTTCCATTCCATTTTTCTTAAAACAATGCAAAAGCGAAGAGAAAAAGAAAAGAAAAACTCATAAGTAATAATGTATATGCTCATGAAATAATATATAAACATGTGTGTTTTGGACCAATATTAGAGGCCCAAGATATAGAAGACCCGGTTCTCAAGAATCGAAGACCAAAGAATCTTAACCCTTAACTAAGTAATTCAAACTGCCAAGAAGGTTTCCAATCAAACGCGCAACATACGACTGAATAAGAAACATGTTTATTTTCCTTTCCCCCCTCTAAAGTGATACAATACACAATTTCGAAATAGGAAAAAGAAAAAAACAAAGATAAAGTAAATGAAAATATATATATTATTTCATGCTATCAATTTTTTATTTTTTCAGTTAGCCCGAATATCATGATAAATACTGGAATACAATCACAAGAAACCATGATCAATTCACTACTGCCATTTGAACACTTTTACACTGACCACAAATTACGAGCGGCTTAAGTATTTGTGCCACTCCCAAATCCAATGCTTACACAGCCATTGAGGCCAACAATTGTAGGGTCACTTGTACTTCCTCCATTGAAATTTTGATTGGAGTAGGTCTTTAATGGTGTTGGTTTTGGAGATGAAAAATATAATTGAGAAATGACGTACTAGTTTATTGATGCATAACAATACAACTTATAAAGAAAAATAATAAAAAGAAACTACATAACTTCCCATCAATAGAAAAGAAAACTGCTCACTTCATAACTACCCATTAAAGCAGAAAAGTAACTGCTCACTACTTAACAACTCATTAAAACAGAAATAAAAACTGACTCCTAAATAATTAAAAATATTGCAGTTTCTAAAGCATGATTTCTAACACTCCTCCTTGCTTTTGGAGCTGCAAACACCAATCTTCTTCCTTAGATTTTCAAATTTGCTTGCAGGTGCACAAATGGCTACATTTCATTTTTGATAAATATTGGACAGCAACCTTGTTCCACGAATTGGTGGGTCTGGTGGGTCATCTTCTAACTCTTCTTGCCAATGTTCCACTCCTTGCTCTTTGCTTATTTGGATGAGAGGACTTGATTTATGCTTACTCATGGATGCCTCTTGTGCTTGTGTCCAGTTCCACTTCTTATCTTCATGAAAATAAACATCTGAGTGGATCAACTGCAGCTTATTGGAGGCTCTCCAACTTGACTTAGGAAATGGATTTCTGTTTTGTTTGCCAAATTGAAAGGCATTACAATTTGCAAAGGTTGGTAAATAATCTGCAAAGGTTGGTAAATCATTTGACAGCTCCTTCTTCTTCATCAACAACATATTTGAGAGGTGACAATGGCCTAGTCTCTTGTGCCAAGTCTCAGTCACATTCTCCTCTATGGAAACAGCAGCTTGCTCCTCCTTGATTGGTTCAAATGAGAAACTCTTGCCTCTCATTTTTGCTTTGATGATTTCCTTTTCATTCTCATCGTGAATGAGACAAACTCTATTTTCGAAAAGCACTTTGAATCCTTTTTCAATCAATTGGCCAACACTCAACAGATTTTGTTGAATTTCGGGTACAAAAAGGACATCAGGAATAAACTTTGTACCTGAGCAACTTGTTATTGCAATAGTCCCCTTTCCTTTGACTGAAATATAATCACCATTGCCTATTCTGACTTTGGTGATATTGGTTGGCTTTAAATTTTTGAAAAGCTCCCTGTCATTGGTCATATGATTTGTGCAGCCACTGTCAATCAGCCAACTCTCACTCTCTTCACTTCTTGCAAAACACGTTGCCACAAAGAGTTGATCCTCCTCCTCCTCCTCTTGATCAGCAACCTTAGCTTCTTCCTCTTGCTGTTGATTTTTGCTCTTGCATATGACTGCTTCATGCCCCATTTGATTGCACTTGAAGCATTTAGCATCAGGTCTCTGCCAACATCTGAATGGTGGGTGACCCATTTTGCCACAATGCTGACAAGGTGGGTAACTTTTCTTTTCACCCTTTCCTTTGTTGTAATTAGTTTATTGGCTCTTGGCTAGAAGAGCACCTTCAACAACATGATCTTCCCTCATCAATCTTCGCTGCTCTTGGGCTTGGAGGACATGTAGCACTTCTGCAAAAGTAATTTTAGACAGATCTTTTGTGTTCTCCAACGAAGCAATAGATGCTTCATACCTCTCTGGCACTGTTACCAGAATTTTCTCAACAATTCTGGAATCTGCAAAATTATCGCCCAGTAACTTTATCTTGTTGGCAATGCCCAACAAACTTTATCTTGTTGGCAATGCCCAACAATGTGTCTGAGTATTCCTTGATTGTTTCAGACTCTTTCATCCTTTGAATCTCAAATTCCCTCATTAAGTTAAGCACCTGCATGCTTCGAATTCTTTCATCTCCAGCATATTCTGCCTTTAGATAGTCCCAAATTGTTTTTGCCGATTTGAGAGTCATGACCCTAGTAAAGATGGTTGTAGAGATACCAGCAAAAGGCATGATTTTGCCTTTGCTTTTCGTTTTTTTTTTCTCCTTATGATTCTTGATCTGGGCCATGGTGGGATTGTCCGGCAGAGGAAGGACTTCATAATCCTCTTCTACAGCTTCCCAAAGATCCAAAGCCTCTAGGTAAGCCTCCATTTTGACGGCCCAAAGATCATAGTTTTCCCCATTGAAAACTGGAAGAGCTGCTTGGGAAAATCTTGTTTCAGAATCCATTCTACATGTCCCGTAAGAAAATGGCTCTGATACCAATTGTTGGTTTTTGTTGGTTTTGGAGATGAAAAATATAATTGAGAAATGAGGTACTAGTTTATTGATGCATAACAATACAACTTATAAAGAAAAATAATAAAAAGAAACTACATAACTTCCCATCAATAGAAAAGAAAACTGCTCACTTCATAACTACCTATTAAAGCAGAAAAGTAACTGCTCACTACTTAACAACTCATTAAAACAGAAATAAAAACTGACTCCTAAATAATTAAAAATATTGCAGTTTCTAAAGCGTGATTTCTAACAAATGGCTACATCTTCCCACTCTAAATTGTTCCACCACAAGAGCCTCCTTCTATTGTAATCAAGATGTCTTTGGCAGAGTTGGAATTCAAAGGAAAAGCGTCCTCAAATTTCGGCAATCACCAATAGCAATGAATTCAAGGGAAGGAAAAGCCAATGCTCTCTTGTGGATGCTCTTCAGCTTTGGCAAATGATTAAGGGAGAGATGTCTAAGATTTGGGAATATATCATTAGAGTTGTCTCTGTCATCCTCGGCTTCCTTCACCACTTCTTCAATTGAATCACAATTGGCAACATAAAGATACTCAAGAAGCGGAGCATACCTCAGCCATGTCAAATGAGTTATTGATTGACAATCTACAATCTGCACCTGACGAAGCTTGGGAAGATGGAAAGTGTCAGCAATGGGTGAACTTTCCTTAATATTTTCTATTTCCCGTAAATCTATCCATTCCAGATGCTTCATTCCAGATGCTAAAAATGATGCCATATCAAATGACGTGATACTCCGAAGCAGAAAACGTCTCAAGCAATCCCTCAATTTGTTCGACTCGAGTAACTTATGGAGACCTGGGGTGGTTCTTAATTCGATGCACAGTTCTTCCAATTTTGGTAAGCACTCCAACTTCTCTAGTAGTGCTTTCTCCTCTTCTGCACTTAATGATCCAAAATAGGAAATTAATCTAAACACCTTCAACTGCTTAAGACTTTCAATCTCTTTTAAAGAAATGATGTTACAATTAAGATATTCCATAAGCAGTACCCTCAACATTTTCAAATTCTTCCAACCAATTTGCAACCCATTTCGTATTTTCGTAAATGACAGATTAAGGTATTCCAACCTCATTAATTCTTTTATTTCTGTTAGTGGATGGTCAATATCATTGTCTGATAGGTCTAAGACTTTCAACCTTGTCATGGATTCCAGATTCGAAAAGTCAGTGATATTCACATCATCCCCCCGTACACATAGGGTTAAGAGATTTGGACAAGATGGTACTTGCCAACTTCCACTCGCAGCATTTATAATTGAAATCCTTTCCACATCATTCAACCTTTCAAAATCCATTTCTGACATGCCTAATGCCTCCCCTTCAACTACAACTTTGTCTTTATTTCGATCTCCATCACGGGCTAACCATAGTGCCATATCTCTTATCACATCATGCATCTTAATTCTAAATGTCCCATTACGATAATCTTCAACGCCCTCTAAGAGACATGAAAGCTTTAATTTTTCAATGATAGATTCCCCTTCCTCATACATATCATATATACTCTTCTTCATTCTACCTTTACCCAGAAATCCCTCTCCGATCCATCGATCAATTAAATCTTTAACCTCAACTTCATAATCTTTTGGGTATAGTGCACAATATAGGAAGCAACTCTTGTGTGTTTCATCTGGGAGTCTGTCATAACTAAACGTCAGGATACGAAACATATCCTTTTCCAACTTTAGACCTATGAAAGAGAACCGTGTTAAATCACCCATGGCTTGACTCCATGCTGCAACGCTTTTCACTCCTGACATGGCACGTCCCACTGTAACCAGTGCTAGTGGCAATCCTTTGCATAATTTAGCTATATCCCATGCTAACATTTGAATATCTGTGTGACTGCGTAATGTCTCCTCACCTACCATTTTACAAAACAATTCAAATGCTTCTTGCTCTCCTAAACGTTCCACTTCAAATTTCTTCCCCGCTTGCATTTTAGCACACACATCCTCATTCCGTGTTGTGAACAACACTTTTGAATGATTATTAGTATCCTTCGGATGTGGAACTCCCACCTTTTCTAGTTCCAACTCTCCCCATAAATCGTCTAACATTAGCACAAATTTCTTTGTTTTCAGGACTCGATAAATCGTTGCCACTCTTTCATCTGGATTACGTTTGTCCCAAATATAATCATTGATCCCTAAGCTCTTTCGAATGGAATCCATAATTTTATCAATATCACAATATCTAGAAACCACCACCCACAACACTATATCAAAGTTGTGCTGTCTCTTTCCAAATTCACCGTGAATTCTCTTCATAAGGGTGGTTTTTCCAGCCCCACCCATTCCATATAAACCAATCATGTTTACATTTTTATCTTCAATAGTATTCCAGACTCTGTTGAGCATCAAATCCAAGCCTATAGTCTCAACATAAGGCATCTCATCCACCACCCCAGAGTGTAGGTTGTAAGCAATATCAACTAAACGTTTCTCCGAGAGTCCATCCACCTCCCTAAGCATGGCCACAACTCTCTTTCCTAACTTGTAGCTTGACACACAATTCTTTGGGCAACAACCGCTTAGACATTTATTATGAGTTTCTAGAGAACCTTGGTTTTGAATTTCCTCCATTACCTGTAAGCAGTATGTACAGTAAGACTTTATTAATATGCATCAATTTAATATATATTTTTTATATTTGATTTTTAAAGTTTTAGATTTTGTATATATCCTGATCTTTAGGTTTTTTATGTTTATGAATTAGTGAAATAATACAAAAACTATTTAAAGTGATCAAATAAACATTTTCTCTTAAATTATTTAATGAGTTGAATTCAAGATAGGCTTTATTAGATTTAGGGAGGATATATACCCGGTTCAATTTGAGAAGATAGATGAATATTTCCAATATAGTTCGAGATAGTGTGATCGGATATTGATTGAATTTGGTCTCGCTCCCTAATGTTTGGTTTGGGGTGCTTAAGTTGGTGTTCTATCATGTGTTATATATGGTGAAAAATGGGTGATGTGTTCGCATGTCCAGTTTCACACTCTCAGGCTAGTGTTTGCAGAGGTAGGAGTGCAAAAGACCAAAGATCCCCCCTACCTTAAGAGTGTGAATGTTGCATATATAAGTGGTTGTGCTTGTGCAAAATATTATAGGCTTTCAATTGCCTTACAAGGAGGGATGGACCTAGGGAGGGGATCGATAGCATGGGTAGCCGCCCATCCCTAAGTTTTATTTATTTTTATTTCATGTATAAAACGATCTTTTTTTAATAATAATAAATTATTAGTACTAATAGTTAGCTCCCTTCAAAAATATTTATAAAGTTAGCATTTTTTATTAGTTTTAAATATACTTATAATTATAATATTTTATTTTCATCTGTTATTAGAAAAAATTCTGAGTCCGTCACCGCTTACAAGTGGTACAACTATTTTACTAATTTTTTTTAATAATCTCAAAATTATTTTTTTATTAAAAATAAGAACTGTTAATAAATAACATGAGAGAAAGAAATTTAAATCATTTGCAGAATAACGTCTATTTAATTACATTTGTATCTAACTATCCTAATAATTTTTTTTTCAATGTCATATTTGAAAATGTTTGAAGAGATAATGCTACAGCAATACAATATAGTTGTACAGTAAAACTTACCCAATCTAACACTTTTCTTCTTTTAAAATTTTTAATGGCAATCGAGAGATGTTCCTACAATTTCTTTACAAAATGACTGATAATGAAATTTTAGAGAGGCTTACTAAGTTCATGATCTATATCTCTCCAATATGGTAGAAAGTGTTGCCGATTTTCTCTTATTTTTATCTAGTTCTGTTTGATATAACTTTTTTCGTGCCATAATTATGTATTGTACATAAAAAGGGGGAATAAATTGGTAACGGTAAGGAGCCTAGGAACATTCTGCTCAATTTGAAGACTAGACGACAGAGAGGTAAGTAAAAGGTGTTGTTATTTTAGTTCAAACTTTTTATCATCCGTACTTACAGTTAACAAATAAACCAACAAGCAACAAAAGATGTCTAAATTATGCATGGGTCGTATATACAATATATCTACCATACGGCATTGATTTTCTATGCTTCGAGTTTAATACGAAAAAATATAAGCAAATAACTGGATGGCGAGCATTTACCAAATGAAGTGTGTGTTTACCTCTTCAAGTTTTTGAACTTTTTCCAGCCAACCATTCACTTCCTCTGTCCTTTTCATCTCCCCAGTCTCCTCAGCATCATCGATTCTTCTATGCAGATCCTTCCTAATGTTTTGAAGATCAACCCACTTCTCTTGTAATGATGCGAGATTCTTCTCTAGCTTATAAACATAGGAAGCGTGGACTTTACCGCTGCTGAACAAACAGGTAGCAACTTCCCAAAGTACTCCTACAACCTCCATGGTTTTATCTATATCTCAAACAATTGTTAATACTTCCATTACTTTTTATCAAAAAAAAAAAAAAAAAAAATGCATAATCGAAGAGAAAAAGAAAAGAAAAACTCAAAAGTAATAATGTATATGCTCATGAAATAATATATAAGCATGTGTTTTGGACCAATATTAGAGGACCAAGACCCCGGTTCTCAAGAATCGAGGACCAAAGAATCTTAACCCTTAACGAAGTAACTCAAACCGCCAACAAGGTTTCCAATCAAACGCGCAACATACGACTGAATAAGAAACATGTTTATTTTCTTTCATTTTTTTCCCTCTAAAATGATACAGTACACAATTTCGAAATAGGAATAAGAAAAAAGAAAACAAAGATAAAGTAAATGAAAAAAAAAAGTAATATTCCATGCTATCAATTTTTTTTTTTTTTTCAGTTAGCCCGAATATCATGATAAATACTTGAATACAATCACAAGAAACCATGATCAATTCACTACTGCCATTTGAACACTTTTACACTTCAACCTTAGTTTAATGAACACACACAAACACTATCATGCAAAACAAAATGGTCTTCTTTACCTTTAAAAGGAGGCAAATGGTCGGTAACCAACAAAAAAAACAGAAGAAAAGAGAATGGTCCCGTGGCCTTTCACACGCATAGGATTGGAAGACATGAACTAGAATTCCAACTTCAACAAATTGGCCATCCAAACCTCTCTTGCCATTATTTAGAGTCTTTACTATTCCACGAACCCAATATAAATAATTGTTACTACTGCAATCTTTTCGACGGTCAAAGATCTTTATAAGCAACTGGCCAAATATCATTCTAATGTTGTTGTTTTGAGTATCTTACTATCTTAGATCCATGAGGCTTGTTTCTAAACCAGCAATTAACACAATAAAAATCCAACAATGTTGCAAATTTAAGTTTGGCAGTTTGGTGTCCAGGCAGAGAGCATGATATACGGTATCATGGATTTCATGTGGTGGGTCTCAATACAAGTGGATCTTGTATAAAACGATTTCACCCAAAAAAAACTTAATTACATAAATAACACAGAAGAGAAGCTCTGATAACATATAAAGAATTATTTAACATCAAAATCTTAAACTATTAGATGAGGTTAGGTTAATGATTTTTATATTATATTTCTCTAACTATAAAAACATCATAGATTAATTAAGTTTGGCAGTTGTATGGAGGTTTAAGCTCATGTTTATTATTTGATAAGTTGAGGATGTTTTATTTTGAGGTACTAAAGGAACGGAAAGGTTGCAAGGGACTGTGCCATAACAAATATATTATTATTTCATGACGTTCGATTAGGAACCTCGTTTGTTTGTTTGTACCCCTTATTAATTACAAGTCCAATCTCATACCCATATTTATGAACATGGAATCAAAATGGCACCGTAAGTAAAAGGATTTTACGAACCCGGAATGTCGCTTTCTCCAAAACAGCTTTGATGCGTAACTCTTTTAATTTCTTCAGATCAGAATATTGTTATCCAACGTCTTCTCCTCTTCAAATGTCCTACGTCAGACTTCAACTGCTGCAACCTTTAAGAACAATTTTTTTTGTCTCTTTCCTGCTCTCTAAGGCTTCTTTCCTTTTTCCCGCTCCTCTAGTTCTTTTTTCTCCTTGTTATAAAGTAAGGAATATATTCTTAGCGTAACCAAAGGGAAAAGAAAAAGCATAACTCCGCATACACGAAATATATTCTCCAATTTGTAGCCTAACTTGAGACAAAGACAAACCCAAAGATAGGGAAACATCGCATCAATTCCTCTTTAGAGCCTATATAATTTATTTTTGGGAAAAGTTGATCATTTACATCCCTATATTTTTTTATCATCAATTACCTGTTGTGATTTTATTTCATCCAAGTTCACATATAATATCGTTAATAATTGAACTAACTTACCCATTTATTCCTATTTTACTTGTTAATTAATCTGATATAAAAAATTTAGACACGAGTAATAAATAAGTAAAGGTTTCATAGAATGAACAGAGCATCCCTTAAAAAAAATATCACAAAAAAGTTAACATTCGAAATTTTGAATGTAGTCATTTTTAAATAAATGGATCTTTCTTTTATTATTCCTAAATCAATCCCCCATTATTTGGCAAGCAGCTACAATTTTATTCTTTTTATGTTATCATAACAATATTAATTACATGCTACTTATATTATTTTTCTTATAAGTAAAGTAATAAAGTAGTATTATTTTCTTATAATTATATATCAACATTTTTTTCTATTTTTGAATAAAAAAGTATAAGAAATCATATAAAAAATGGGCTTCTCTTTTCTCATGTCACATGAGATATCATCTCTCATGTCATAGACACAATAAGTGGTGGGGCCCACCACTTATTAAAAAAGAAGAAAAAACTAAAAAGATAGCACGAATTTCGATGTCTCACAACATGAGAAAACTATCTCCTATTACATAAGAAAATGATTTCCCATAAAAAATATGGTGTATAAGAATCGTCTCTTAGAATATAATATTAATATTGAATTGTATAGATAAGAGGAAAAGGATAAAAAGAGGCCTTAATTTGCATATTGATGTTGGGGCCAATGCTCTTTGCCTGTTTTTTTTTTTTTTTGGTATTTAATGTGATTTCCTTTATTTTGTCACATATAGCTATAAATTATCTCTAGTAAAAAAATTTCAAGCCCCCCTTCCAACAACTATTGTTCTCTCATCTATTATTATTATGTGTTTTTTCTAGTCATAATCAAGTAGACTTTGCCACGTTTTTATTTTTAGGGTCAGATTTCACTTTTGATAAACAGAACTCCAAACATAAAATAAGGATAAAATGGACAAGTTTGTTTAATTACTAATAGTGTTAAAAGGTGGACTTGGATGAAAAAAAACCATGAGAGGGTAATTGATAAGAGAAAAAAATCATAAGGGTGTAAGTGATAAAAGAGTATTTTGCTCGTCAACGACCGTTTTCCCGTCGCAAACCTTATTTGCAATGGAATTTCGCTCGTTTGCGACAGATATTGCCCATCGCGAATAAGTTGTTTTTTTAGTAGTGCATCCCTTTGGCTTTCTGCCTATTGCTTGTACACAGCGATACCTCCTGCGGTTGTCCTTCAATGATACCACCTACCTATTGCTTGGATTAAACAATGACGCTGTATGTGAGAAATGATAAACTTTGATTCTTATTCTATCATAGCAAATACACTCAATGCATCATTCAACCACCAGCCCTCGGTAACATAATGTACACCAGAAGCAACCACTTTTGCCATCAATGTTCTTCCAAATTAAATACATGCCAAAGGACTTAGCCATCAAAATAAACATGATCAAAGCAATTAGCCATATACCACATACCAATTACTACTACAATGATCATGCACTAAGTCATCCAAAATACATCACATGGCCTCAAAATATACATATACATATGACAATGCAAATAACATATACATCTACAATCCTAGATGAGATGTAATCCAAAATAACCAACTATTAACATATAGGACATCTAGCCCAAATACGGCCACTTGCCACCAGAGGCTCTTGCAGCATCTATACCTGAAAGAGGGTTCCCACAACACGGGGCGAGATATACGAATATATCTCAGTAAACTAGGGGTCCTTAGAGCATCTCTCCACCCCACAGTTCACTCATAGTATAATAGCAATAACTGAAAATAATGTAATAAATACATATCAATGCAGTGTGTAAAAATATATACAGGAGACATATATCCCTTGAGCTCTCTTGTTGTCCTAAGATGCAAATAGTCCTACTAGCCAGATAAAATACCAAGTATGAATTACGCATCATCATGCAACATACAAACACAGGAAAACACCATCATATGCCACTCCCAATGCATACACATACGTATAACAAAGCATTAAACTACTTTATTGTATTTACATACACTATCAACAACCACTACCCATTCCGGGCTTGGGGGAACAATAAATGGATCAATTCTCAAGGTCCGAAGGCTTACCTCAATGGGCTTTCAATTCAACCTTTATTCACCAACAAGTTTGCAACCAATCAAACTTTGAATTCAAGCTACAATCTTACAAAATCCACACCAACACTTGGTTCACTCAAATAACCAAGTCAAGTTCCATTGCTTCCACCGATTCTTGGTCAATCAAAGATGATCCACTTACTTCAGTCCTATCCACAACATGGACACAATCAATGACCAATCAAATCAATGGCTTGGAATGCAAGAAAACTCACAAACCAAGTTTGAATTTTTGAAAATATCATAGGATACCCAAAAACTCATTTATATCGGTTAAATCATCATCAAAACAACTTTTCCAAAGGAATTAAGCCTCAATCAACCTCTAGACTACCCCACCATACATGCATATTCATTAAATGGAACCCTAACATAGCCATCATCATAAAACTCAAGGAGAGTGAGATTTCTTACCATAGATAGTCTTAGAATCACTTAGGGAGTAGATTCCAAGCTTTAATTCAACTAATGGGTCACTCCAAGTCCACCAATCTCAAGTTAGGGCACAACTTTTCTCTCACATTTTCTCTCAATGCAAGGTTTTTTGGTAGATTATGGATTAGGAGTTGTATTTGCCTCACAATTCTAAGCAAGATTGGTCCAAGATTCAAAGGATTTGGTTGAGAAATGGAGGAGTTGTGTTTGGAGCACTCACAACAATGGCTTCTCTCCCTCTCTAGCGATGATGGCTGCACAAAGAAGAAGAAAGAAAATGAAGCTTATTTGGCTTTCTTTCACTTAAATTACTTAAGTTAAGTTCAACTGGGTAAAAATTTATCTATTTATTTACCTCCATTCACTTCCAAACTTTATCCTATGGTCTAAAATATTTTCCTAAGAACATTTCTAATTTTACTTTTATATTTTGGATACTTTTGCCTACACACATTTTACCCCATAATTTTCACTGACTTCATTTTTTATCGCAAAAGTGGCCCTAATTTATCTAATTAAATATTTCCTCTAATTCAACCCACTAATACAAGATTAATTGTCTAATTACATGTAATTAATTAAATATCGTGGTGAGAGATATTATAAAAAACCGATAACCAGACTGATTTTCTTTAGATTAGTTGAACCGATGGGACATGTAATTTTTTTTTAAAAATAAAATAAAATAGTGAAATGCAATGCTTTTACACCATTACTAGCAAGACAAATCCCTAAATTGCAACACACATATATGTATATTTAAGTATTTGAATATTTGTATGAAATTTTAAGCATAAAATATAAATTTGCATATATTTATCTATGTCATCCAATTTAACCAATTATTTACTAATTAAATCATTAACTCAATAAACCAATATCCCAACTGAGTCGATAACGGGAATAACATTGGTTTATATTGCTACTTGGCAGCGAGAGAGATATGATTTTATAATTTTGTAATACAATTTAGATAACTTCTATACTGAGGTGTAATGAATATTGGGCCACGGAGCTGAAAGACATTAAAATGGTCTAATGAGCTCTCTTCCAAATGGAATATTAAAAATACATGATTTATGATAGCCCAACTTAAAAGCCCAAACTGAAAATCCATCCAAACCCACTCTGGTCAATTCACCCGCTGCTGCCAATTAAAACCGACCGCTGTACAACCTGTGTCTCCATGCAGGTCCATTTATACATGTTACATGTTGATGTGCAATTATAAGTTTATAACCAAATAGTACAAGGGATTGTAGTTTGTCCTTTAACATGACACTATTAAATTTTCTACACACATAATATTTTGTGGGACCCGTACTTTTTAAAACAAAAAAAATTAAAAAAGTTAAGGCACGCAAAACGAATTTCTATAACATTACACAATTACTTTTCCTACAACATAACTCTTATAAAACCCATAGTATAATCAGACATATAGATTATGAAGTAGGTAAATGATAACCTAAATTCCTTTTCTTTCTTTTTCCATACTCGTAAAATTTTTGGGCCAAAGTATAAAGGGGAGTATCAAAGGGGAAAAGAACTAAGATTCATTGCTCAAGTTTAAACAACAAAGTCCTATGTAAATAAAGACGAACAAGGATAACATTTCTGTTGCTATTTGAAAGCTTCTAAACAGGATGAAGATGCCAAATTTTCAGGTTTCTGAACCAGCTTTATGTTTCTTCAAATCTATAATGAAGTGCATGATTGGCTGATTGGCCATTAACTATTGTGTGGATAGTAACTCCTCAAATCTTTCAAGTTGAGCAATTTGATATATTTAGTTGAACCCCTCTTCAATGGATACATGCCTTAGTAAAAAAATATAACGCAGAATACTAAGAAATAATGATTTTTTTTTGGGTTTTAGTTTTATCCTTTAACATAACATAACAAATTTTCTTACTCTCACAATATTTTATGGGGCCCACACTTTTTAAAACAAAAAAATAAATAAAAAATTCAGGCACGCAAAATGAATCTCTATAACATTACACAATCACTTTTCCTACAACATAACTCTTATAAAACCCTTTTTTTTATCCATATAATTTCAAACAATAGTAATTTCATGCTAGCAAGCTGATACCAACACAACAACATTAACTGAAGTTTAAGCAGGGGTGTTGTTTATAAGATACTGTTTAAAAGAAAAAAGATTAAATATTATTGACATAAGCACAGTATGTATCTATCCATCTAGATTCTTAGAAACAATCTCAAAGGCTAGAACAGGCCCAGCTAGCATCAACACCATGGATGATCTTTTCATGTAATGTGGCTCCAGCACAAGCAACGATACCACGATCAAGCCCTTCCAAATATAAACCTTTTGAGAAATCCAAGGAACTACCCCCAGCATCTGTTACCACACCTCCAGCCTCTTGTATAATGACAACACCAGCAGAATGATCCCATATTTTCTCCTTGTAACCAGCCCTAGCAAACTTCATGAAAGCCGCAGCATCCCCACAAGCTATTGCTGTATATTTCATCATGCTGTGAACTCTTAATGGCTGATTACTGCATACATTTACAAATGATTAATAAGAGCTATCTTTTTACTAGAAAGTTACATTGTCTTTCGTGCCTTTTTCCAAGTGATAATTTAAATATATAGCCTTTTTCATTGAGATAAATGAGAATGTAACTAGTCATTAAGTAAGGAATGTGCAACTACTCATCACAATTTTCAGCTTGCCAACATATTCTATGAACCTTTTCATTTCTATGATATTAAATTAGCAAAAATGATTGGGTCTTTCACAAAAATTTTAATATGCATATAATACTAACTGAATACAAATAAAAAACATATAATACTAACATTTAATATGTTGGAATATCTAGACACCTGACAATATCACTCATGAAAAATCAAAAGACAGAGAGGGTAACTGACATTGAAATGGAATGAAATAAAAATGAACCTGAGACCAACACTTTGAGCCAGTCCTTCAGTAAAAGAGTGGCTTGAATTGGCCTTCTCAACTGGTTCACAGAAAGTGGCCAATGCTGGGTTGTCAATGGAAGAAACAGAAACTTGTTTTGCATGATTTGGCCACACAAACTTCTTATTGACATGGAGCAGTTGTTGGATCCAAGCCTTGCCACTACCCCTTTTAGCATAAATTACACAACCTTTATTCCAAGTTTCAGAGGTTGGAGTCAACTTGGACATAATCCTATGATAATGGTGATGATAACTTAACCAGTCCTTTCTCATTGGGTAGTTAGGACACCCTAGAACTCCAAGCATCACTTCTCCATTCTCTATGAGTGATAGAGCTACAGCATATTGATCTCCACCTACAAACCCCAATGTACCAATAAGAGGACCAAGTACCCAAAATCTTCCAGAAGGACCCCCAACAGAGTTGCAGCGACTAATGATTTCAAGAACCTCTGAAGTTCCAAGAGCTGATTTTGGTTCTTCAACTCCAAATCGAGGTGCTTCAGCTAAACATTCATTCACGGTTTTAACCACAGCATCTAACAGTTTACATGCATTAGTATTTGAGAGAGTGTGACCATCCTTTTCAGCTAGAATTGAGATATTTTCACCCACTAAACACTGGGACAATATCCAGCTGACAATTGCTTGCACACTCCAACCTATATAAAAAGAATAATGAATACTAAAATTCAATCATTACTGAAAGTATGAATATAAATTCACTAGCTACCAGAAATAGAATGATCAGTAGTGTCCCAAAAAATGTTTTATTCAGAAATTCCAGAGACTAATATGCAATAACCATCATATGACCAAAGTTGTAAAGAAACTTAATGAAAGGAGCAAGCTCTACACCAAAGATTAGCCTAATATTAAGCATACAAAAACATTTTACAAAGAGTGTCAGTCCAAAATATTTTTGTCCAAAATACCTCAAAAGTCCAAAAACAATCTCTATTTGGTGATGCAACAAATGGTTCTTCGAAGGAGTCATCTTGATAAATATCAAGGGAGATTATAGAGCTCTTTTTCTGTTAAATATTGTTTTCCTTCCAGCAGCAATTTGTTTTTTAACATTTTTTCTATTCTTATTGAGAGGATAGTTATCCTCCTCCTTTACAATGTTCCTTACTTTACTTCTAATATAATTTCTTTTTTTTTTAACAAAGTTTATAAAAGGGTAGGTTTTATATATCACTTCACTTCTTCAGTGGTAATATAGTCGAGTGTGTTCGATAAGGTCCCTGCACTTTCATGCTGTAGACAACAACTCTACCCCAAAGTTGTTCCAATTTAATATAAAAATCCAACTCTAGAAATCCATATAAACCCATATGTTTAGTGTTTACGACAGTGCAAAATAACCGAACGTAACTCAATCAAATAGTATTTTTTTTTTTTTAAACCAGTTTTAATTGGTTTTATAAACCATTTCAAAAAATTGAACCTGAAAAAAAGAATTGGTTTAAAAAGCCATTCAGAATCAGCTTTTATCTGTTCTGAACCAATTATAAATCATAAATTGGTTTTGAAATATAAGTTAATTCCGAATTGTTTTCAAATGGGTTGTGAATTAATTTTGAAACGTTTCGAAAAAAATAAAACCAATTTAAACTAATTTAATTCGGTTCAGAAAAAAAAAAAAATTTGATTTGGATCACTATGCACACCCTTAATAGCATAAAGTCAAAACTCAACCCATTAGCTAGTTAAAAAATAAAAAAACTAATCTTCTGTAAACGCAAACAAGAGACCTCCCCCTACACACACATATCACGAATAAAATGTTCAACATATTAGAGAGTTTAATTAGGAACATTCACCTGCAACTGTGACTGGAGAAATGTCACCCTTGGATTGGACATGATCGTTGCTCATAGACATGGAAATCAAAGTGTCTTGCACTTTCTGACAGAGGAAGCATGCCATCTGCACTGCTCTGACAGCAACATCCAACTCTTTGGAATATTCCTCTTGTTCTGAGACAAGGCCAAACATTTTCTGGTCCTCCTCCATCAAAGGATAACAATAAATTTGGTCGAAATTTGACACAAAACCAATGTGGCTTAAGAGGTTGTTGGGGAATTTATGGTGTAGGGACAAGAAGCATGAACCTGCTGCTGCTGCTTTTACATGGCTGAGTGTGAAGCTGTCACTTCTCCTCCTATGTCCTAACACACATGGTAATTTTACACTCAAGCTAGCACAGTATATAGGCATGTCAAGTACTCAACAAGTTTTCCCTCTCTTTGGTATGTGCTTAGTAGTTGGTGGTTATTACTTATTAATAATGTGCGGATATTGGTAAATAAAAATAGGGTTTACATTTGTCATTTAACATGACATAACAAATTTTTCTACGTACACAACATTTTATGAAACTCATACTTTTTGAAGAAAAAAGAAAAAAAAAGAGCAAGTAGGACACGCAAAACAAATTTCTATAACATTACACTAGGGGTGGCAAAACGGGTCGGCCCGCCCCGACCCGCCGCCAACCCGCCAAAAGTGAGTTGACCCGCCCCGCCCCGCCTCTTTAATTTGGGTTGAAATCTTCAACCTGCCCCATTTTATGGTGGGTTGACGGGTTAACCCGCTTAAAAAATAAAAATAATTAAAAATAAATTATATTTTATTAATATTATAATATTACTTATTTTCATATCATATTCCCCATAGTTTTTTTTTAATCTTAAGTCTAAATGTATGTTAATATTTAGTCAGATATTCTTTACAAACTTGTTTTTATCTCCATACATAAATTACCTTTGTCATAAATAAAGTTTTTCTTCTATATTTTTTCTAGAGAATACTAAGATAACAAAAAATTGGATATCACAAAAGCTTAAAAACAAATAAAACACTACTTAATAGTAAAAAAAAAAAAATTAACCCAGCTAGCCAACCCGCCCCGACCCATCGCCAACCCGTTTTGACCCACAACCCAACGGGGCAGGTTGGTGGGTTGAAATATGTAACTCAACCCGTCCCATTTTGGCGGTTTGACCCGTCGGGTTCAACTTATATTGTCACCTTTATATTATACAATCATTTTTCCTACAATATAACTCTTATAAAACCCATAAAAATATTTATAAAACTGAGTTTCCTAGTAATAACATTTGTCACTTCCAAGTCTTTTTCCATCATTAAAAGCAAATTGTATTAGGACTGGAATCAATTATTTTGTTTTTTCTGAATGCATGCTGTATAATTAAGCCAGGAGGTAAGTTCAAAATTCAAGTGCTAAAAATAGCACTTGTGGAGGGTCTAATCGTATTGTGTAAAGATATTAATCTCACCACTTAAGGTATAATAATATCTTCAGTCTTGTAATTTTTTAGTATTTCATAAATGAAAATAACCTTTTTTTTCTACCACACTCACTCTAGGGTTCCACTAATTTTTTTTCTCTTTTCTTTTTACAATAGAATTATTCATTTTTATCTAAATATAGAAGAAAAGATTTTTTGTACAAAAATAGAAATATAATTTCCTTCGTAATATAGAAGAATCTTGCCACATTTGTGATCATGTTAGGCTTGAATTTAGATTAGTCAACCTTAATTAATGACGGTTTATACTTAAAAAAGGTTTTTTATATAAATTTTTTGTCACGATAGAATAATTGAAATTCAAAATGATTTTTTATTATGATTACTGAACGTAAACATTATGTCTAAGTTTATAAACTGAGAATTTGTGTATGAACATTTTTTATTAATGAGTCTGGAGTATTATGTCGTAGACTGAAGTTAGTGTAAATTTAAGATTTTATTATTGGGAAAAGACTTAGTTGAAAAAGAAAACTACAAATAATTACCTAAAAGCCATCTTGCATGAGTAGCATAAATTAAGGTATAATATATAGGTTATAACAAAAAAAAAAGGTATAATATATAATATACATTCAAGCATATATAAGTGATGTAATGGTATCTAAGATGGGGTTTATATCGTGTAAAATCTCTCCAAATGTGACTCATGTACGTTCTAATCATTCAGTACATACACCAACACCCCTCATATTAGTTCAATTTCACAGCTACTTTTGTCATCCTTTTTGGAGCAGGGAAAAAAGGGAGCTCCCCTGTATATGCCTTTGTATTGTGTAAGATCTGAGTCATAATGAGCTCATCATAAACAAGATAAAAACCACTTTTTGATCATAACTCCATCTTATTGATCATTCTATTTTTAGCCGCAATCGGAATTTGGAAATGTAACTAATCAATTAGCCAATTGGGTCAATAATTATGGCTGATGACAAATTGATAATAACCACCACTGAAGCAGGGGACCAGAGATCAGAAACATTATGAACGCATAAAGTATACCTTTGTGACTTTGAATGACATAGCCATGAGGTCTTGAATGAGTTTTGTTGTGTTTAGTTGTGAAATTTATGTTTTTAATTTGAGACCCAATCTATTTCTCTTGGAAAATTTCCTAATGGGCACTGTAGCTTGATTTAACACTCTATTGCGTGCACGAATGTGAGACAAAGTGCATCTCTTACCGAAAGTTGAGAAAACTCATTTGTTGCTGCCACACACATAATTAATGGCATTCTAGAAAAATAAAAAAATTGGATAACTTGAATATTCTGGAATGCTGGCCCTTCTTCTTGGCGATAGCAACTATGACGTGAAACGCTTCTTGCTTCTTAGAAAAGTACTTGTATATTCCTCATGACGTGAAGCAAATGGAAGTATGATCTCATCGATTCCTTCACATATTAATTGGATATTACTACACACCACTTGCTATATGCTTCGATTATGTCACAGACTAAGAAGAGCAAATCCTAAAATCTTATTTATGTCTCTTCCTTTGCTTGATTTCCATCATCTTTTCCTATAATCATTTATGTCTCTTTTTTTTTTTTTTTTTGGAGTTACCCAACCCTAATTATCTCTTTGAGACGAGTTGGCTCCCTCCGGTATCCCCACGAGCTTCGACTCTTTTGAGCCGGCTATGGGACTAATCCGGAGTGCGGGGAAACAGTGATGGCTAAAGGTTCAGCCCCCTCTCCAAGAATGCATTCAGCGGGAATCGAATACATATCCAACTCCACTAACTCAGCGCCAAATTACCAACTGAGCTGCACCCATTGGGTTTATTTATGTCTCTTTCTAAAATAAAATATTATTTATAATGTAATATTTACACAAATAAAATGTCACTACCCAATTTCGGGGAATTGTGATTTCTGTTTGTGTTGGCATTCAGTTGAATAGTGCAATAAAACTCATACTGCAGAATTCTTTAAATCTCTTTGAACTGTTTGCACAATCTAGTTCTGCTTGATTCTTTTACTATGTAATTTATATTTATTTTTTTTGCAGCTGGAATTGTTCTTGAGGACAAGAATTGGCCACCATTTTTTCCAATTATCCATTGTTCCAATATGATAAATCGGAATGTCCAACCTAATGATTGATAATGTTTATGTTAGATTTATGTATTCTCTCTCAAGTATCTATAAATGAGATACTATTGGTAGTAGGCAGATCATTGTGCACAATAATAAACGACATAATTAAGGCATGGGATGTGTGCACAGTAATAGCTACGAGAGAGAGAGAGTTTTGAGTGTATGTACCTTATTGATTTAATCCCTTATTTATAGATGAGTTACTTGGCAGGAGTGGAATTCTGGGCCTCTTAAGAATATTGGAGGTCCAGCTTTTGAACCATTGGTGTCGTATTATGATCATTGTTGTGAAAACCGGACCGGACCAGCCGGATCGACCCGGAACCCGGTGTGACCCGGCCGATTTTGGTGAAAAACTAGTGACCTGGCCCGGGTTTTAAAAAAAAAAGATTTTCAAAAAAAAAAAAAGTTTTCCAAAAAAATCATAATTGACATATTTGAGTGATCTATTACTTATTGACTTACATAAGTTATGTACCTACAATCTTAATATTATCTCAATTATGCAATATGCAGGAAATTTTGATTTGATAGTTAGAGATGTCGTTTACCGAACCTGAAACACTAATATAACAAGCATTATGTGTTTTTTGATCCTTTATTGGACAATAATGTATAATTTATTATTTTTATATTAAAATATTTAGAATTTATATTATTTTTTTTCAGCTATTTGAGTATATTTATAATTTTTTTAATATAAATTCTAGATTTACATGTAATCACCGGGTCATGCGGTTCAACCAGTGACCCACTAACCCAGTACCTCGACTGGGTCATTGACCGGGCCGGTTTTAATAACATTGATTATGATTAGTACATTTAAGAAATTTTTCCTTAATTGCCTCTTAACTATTAACTATTTTTGGGTTTTCTATAATGTGAGCCTTTGTCAGGTCCGTAACAGTTGTCCCTCAGCTCGGCAGTCTAATTGTCCGAGTTGTCAGGGTGTATATTTTGTTAGACTTTAGTTCTATCTGACAGGTATATATGGGTCGTTGTACACCACTTTTGGTCGAATTGGCGATTATTTTTACTTTTCTTAATATTTAGAGGTCGGCAAGGTTCTTTGGTTTGAGCCTTTTTTTTTGCTTTTTCTAACAATTCGTATGGCTTCAGCTATCTTGTTGTGTAGAATTCTTATCTCTGACATTCTCATTTGCTTCCCTACCTTGTAGCCTAGGTGTCCTAACTCCTAAGTGAAGCATATTGAATTATTAATCTTGTTGATCAAACTTTCGTGACGGGGGTCTCTATTAGAAATTGAAAAAAAAATTCCTTTAACTTTTTTGCCGGGGTCTTATCTTGACCTTCCTAAGCTATGAAGTTTTAGCTAGAATCCATGTATTCTTGTCGATTTGTGTTCCGAATTTATTCTTTCTTATTTCACTCTTTCTTTTGTGCCGGGTTTTATAAGTCGGGTATCGAGTATGCTCTTCCAATATTACTCCCTCAACCTTTTTTGGCCGATGTACATAACTCGAATTAGTTGACCAATCTTTTTTATTGTCTCACTGAGATCTTGACTTATAAGGATTGTTGTCATATTAGGATTAGTACATTTAAGATATTTTTCTTTAATTCTCTCTTAGCTGTTAGTCATTCACGAGCTTTCTATAATGTGAACTTTTGTCAAGTCCATAACATCCATCACGATATTGCTAGTGAAATTTCGTTAAGTCTTCAAGCGATGAATGTTGTTATGACCTTGGCGCCTTCTATTTATGCTTTGTGTGAAAGCTAATTAAAAAAAAAAATTCTTATTTCTTATTTTCTTTTAATT